ATGGAAGGAGCTCCTTAACGGTAAGTAAGATGTCATGTGGCTCGCACCCGTTCTAGCCCATATAATGAGCTACTCCTTTATTTATTATCATTGGACGAAGAACAAGCCTATTCCCACTCACTGCCTCAATAACAGTAACTCACTCACATATTCCATCCTGGGTGAGAAGTGGTAATCTCCGGCCCCTTTTGCTAATTACTTTACAATGTAATGCTACACCCATCATGAACTCTTTTTCATCCATATTATACATGTTCTGTGATTTGAGATTATAGAAGCGAATTAATTTCTTTAACTATATATATATTGATAGTAGAATTAGCTCTTCTTGTATCTCTACTTTGTAGTTTACTATTGAGTATACATATGTGTACCTTAGAAAAATAGTTTTTCAAAATCTGAGGATTACTGGCAAAAGCCCTTTAACTGTCCAGACGAGTACTGAGCTTAGATACCAGCTGTGGGTGCCGGTCCAAAAATCTTGTTAACCAGTATACTCCTAAGGTCTGATTTTTGGAGTTAACTTGCTGGTGGATGAGTGCTAGAGCCATTGTTTTGACTACTGCCAGCCATGGTGGATGACCCCACTCATCTAAATTTTCATACCACTGCACAATTGAGTTCTCTTCATACTTGGTCAAAAGCTGCATGGCTTTCTGTCCAAGGATATGATTTCTGCTACCCCTTAATCTCCTATACAAGATTGAGTAAGAAACTCCAAAGAGTTCAGATGTTTGCTTGATAGAGGACTCCTTTGCTTTTTCATCATAGCGTAATACCTCTTGGATCTGTTCCTCTTGTTCATTCACTTGCTGCTGCTTGACTCGTGGCATTCTGGATACTGGTATCGTTGATTTATGCTCCTTTTCACCAAATTTAGCGGGTGGTTTATCACCTGTGCGGGGTACAGCTTGGCGCCGAGCCACATCCCTGTCCCGAGCCGCTTCACCGTAAATTACGTTAGTACTGTACCTCTGGACCTGGCATGCTGTGTACCTGCTTGCCAAAAGGTTTACAATGTACCGTATTTTCCGAGAAATACGCTTCTACCGAAACACTTGTACCTTCCATCTCCCGAGAACTTCGAACCTCCCTACTGGGGTCCCCTCCACCACCAAGTCTCCTACCGGTAGGTACACCTCACTAGCTAAACCCAGCTCAATACTCCCTACCCGAGTATACAATTACCAAAAAAAAATGCTTCGCACAATCCTCCGGCCAGCCCATCAGGGTGCACTTCACATAACTACCAAAATAACAACAGCAGCCGCCACAATTCGAAAAGCCCACAGCACAACATTTGACTGGCAGGACCCTCTCCTACTCACTTCCGCCCTGACAGATGATGAAGTCACCATTTCGAATATGGCGCGGGAGTATTGTCAGGAGAAGCTTTTGCCTCGGGTTTTACGTACGTGTGCTGCCCTCAACTACTATGATGGAGGATGAAGGCTAATGGGATTTGGGTGGAGGTGAAAAGAGGCGTACCGTGATGAGCATTACGACAGGAGGATTTTGGTTGAGATGGGGGAGTTGGGACTATTGGGGGCTACGATTAATGGGTACGGATGTGCAGGTGTGGGGAATGTTGCCGCAGGGGTGGGTTCCTGCTTCCTTCCCCGCTTGGAGAGTGGGTTGGGATTGGGATTGGAGCTGATTGTTGTAGTTGGTTACTAGAGAAGTGGAGAGGTATGGAGTTCTCTTAAGCTGTTGCCAAGGGTTCGAGGAGATTATCTAGGTGCTGATGGGTATGCGAACAAAGGGTAGATAGTGGATACCGCAGTGGAATGAGTGTTCAGAGCTCACTCGTCATGGGAGGCATCGACGAGTTCGGGACGCAGGAGCAGAAGGAGCGATTCCTGCCGGGTATGGCAAAGGGAAAGATTATTGGAGCCTTTGGCCTGACAGAACGTATGTTTTCAGGGAAGATTCCCAGTATTTCCTATTGGTATTAACTATAACAAATAGCAAATCATGGTTCCGATCCTGGGTCGTAATTTACCATTCCAATCCCTCGACGAGAAGTATAGTTTGCTAATTGAAAGTTAGCATGGAAACCGTTGCCCGACCACATCCCACAAAGAAGGGAGTCTGCCTCCTTTTCGGGTCGAAAACCTGGATCACAAATTCTCCAATCGCAGACGTTCTCATGGTCTGGGCCAAACTCGACTGTAAGATCCGTGGCTTTCTCGTGGAGAGAGCTACCGCAGCTCCTGGAACACTCTCGACTCCAGCCATCAAAGACAAAACCGGGCTCCGAGCGTCCATCACTGGAATGATCATGTTAGACGGGGTGGAAGTTCCTGAGGAAAACATGTTTGCAGACGTTGATGGTCTGAGGGGCCCATTTAGTTGTTTGAACAATGCCAGGTATGGGATTGCGTGGGGTACTATGGGGGCGCTGGAAGACTGCATTACGAGAGCGAGGATATATGCTCTGGAACGAAAGCAGTTTAAAGGAAATCCTCTAGCAAAGTACCAGCTCGTTCAGAAAAAGCTAGCGGATGCGACCACGGATGCTGCTTTCGGGTTGGCCGCTTGCTTGCATGTCGGGCGGCTGAAGGATAAAGGACTCTGTGCTCCAGAGATGATTTCAATGATCAAGCGTCAAAATTGCGATAGAGCACTTGCTAACGCTCGAATGTGGGTTTTCCCTCCCCCATCGTCATCGCATCTCATTTCGTTTGTCGGTATTAAATAACGCTGCGTTATATGCAGCCTCCAGGAGATTTTCGGAGGAAATGCGGTGTCGGACGAATATGGGACTGGAAGACACGTTGCAAATCTTTTTGTTACCCAAACATACGAAGGCCAGAGTGACATCCACAGTAAGATCCGAATAACCCGAATAAACACCGAAAGGTCAGCCGCTAAAACGTTGCGCGATTAGGTCTTATACTCGGACGGGCAATCACTGGAGCCCAAGCCTTTTGTTAGTCGCCGCCGCCGAAAATGTAATACCCACCCGGAAAACATTTAGGGGAGGAGGTTGTACAAGGAGATTGTTAGACCCTTTGTTTTTCAAAGTTTTGTCTTTCTGACGCTCCAATTTAATAGAGGCAGTCGGTCCCGGGGTTGAAAAGTGTTCGTGCGAGTTTTTCGGGTTGAAGCTTGGCGCGTAACGCCTCTCTTGCATACAAATCTGGCAGACCACTCGAAACTTCACACTCGAAATACGCTTTTTCGACCCCGGGGCTGAACGACTCTATTTGCTCGTAATTCACAGTTCCAACTTATATTCATACAGTGATAGTACTTGGATGTAAACAAGAGAGATGAGGCTGGGGGGTCAAAAAATCCTGATTTCCTCCCCCAAGGCTATGACAGAAGAGATGGGAAACTTTATTGATGAATGAAGCATGGGAAACAAATGAAGAAATGCCGAGTAGCTGAAGTTTGAATAGGATTTGAAATTTGGCGAGAAATTAATCGGTAAGATGCTTGGATTGGTGAGGCTAGGTCTGCTATTTTAAGGAACCCAGGGAAGAGGCAAAGAGGCAGTTGAAACGAGAATGAAGGGACGCCGCATACTGGCGGTGCAAGTCAGTTAAATCAATTATCATACTCAAGGACTTGGGAAGGGGCTCCATCCTAATTTACAAGTATGGCAGGAAAATAGTTGAAACGAGGGGAGAAGGTGAAGCAGAAAGAGTGCCGCAGCTCAGGACCCAGGGCCAATGTTGTATTATACCGGTATGTGGGCTCCCGTCACAGCAATCTTGCGGGGTAAATGCTGGTGGGGTCGTGGTAATTGATACCGGTATTGGAGGGTCGAAAGCGATGATACCAGTAAATTTATAAGATCAAGCAGTGTGAAGACTGAAAAATACGTAAGCGGAAATATGGACTGCACCAATCGCGTATTTCAAATACCAGAACACAGTCTGCGCCCTGTACGGCCTTTGGAGGAGAAAACAGTTCTCTGTTTTCCGGTTGGTGGGGCTTGTGAGCCTTTGACGCAGCTCGAGGCAGGCGTGATCGCCTCAGAAATGCTATGGACGCTGCGGCCATAACTATTAACCAATCATTGAAAATCAAACCCAATAAATATCTTGAGCTCAAAACGTAAAATAATTTCTACCATTTATCCGTGTACCTTTTTAACAATTTCATAGAACCTTAGCACGAACGCCTGCGTTTATATAGTACGGTAGGCGAGAAGGCGCCTCTATATGCGAATAGGAGAAAAGAAAAATGAGAAGCCTTCTTCTCACTTTCGCAGTGCTTAGTCAGAGAGCCTATGACCCACGATAGAGAAAAAGGGAGAAGAAAAAAAAAGGCTGCTGGGTAAGAAGGATTGTCGGAGAGTTGGCCACTGAGGCAAAGTAGGAGAACCAGCCCCAGAAAAAAAAAGTGTTCTGTGGCCCTCTCCTAACTTCTATGTTTGAGCGTCTGATTTCACCATACTAAAGGATCGACCCTCCTGCTAAGTACAAAACTTGCCTCCCCCCCAACTCAAACTTACCCTCCTGCTCCCCACCATCTCAACTTCCACAACAACTCAACTCTCTCCTGTTCTTACCTTTGTCAATCCTTCCCTATTCTTTACTTTACGCTTCACTGTGAGTATTCCTCTGCCTTACTCCTATTTCATTCTTTTATCTTTTTATTCCTCACTTCCTTTACAACCTCCTTCTCCCCCTCTGCACCCCCCTTCCTTCTCCTTCCTGATTCCTTCGCTGTTGTCCTCTTGTCAACAACAACACCACCATCTCCCTGCTTTTGCTAACCCCGCCTTCCACAGCCGTCACTCCTACAACCTTCAATAGCAATACTCCCATAACAACCAGTTCGAAATGGCCCTCAAGAGAATTAACAAGGAACTCAGCGATCTCGGAAGGTATGGTTTTCCTCCCTATGCTACAGCAAAAATCGGTCTTCGCTTCGGCTCCCGTTGAGAGTTCGCGTGAGGGGGCGTTGCCTGGCTATCGGCTGAAAGCTATTGCTTGCTAACTGTTTACCTCTAGAGATCCACCCTCATCATGCAGTGCCGGTCCTATTGGCGAGGATTTGGTGAGTTTTACCTTGATGCCTTCCCTCCGAAAGATTTCTTTGGCTTCAAACAAAGTTTGTTGTTTGTTATCTTACTGGGTGTCGTGATGCTGCGAGACAAATACTGATGTCCTGTTTAGTTTCATTGGCAAGCAACCATTATGGGTCCTGTATGTTGACCCCTGCTTGATAGCCTCCTTCAACAAGGCATAGTTGAGCCATAAGGCCCGGCTTGGATCATAACCGAGGCGAACGTATTTTCTGACCCGTGCTTTTGTCATCCTCAGGCAGATAGTCCTTACTCCTCTGGGGTATTCTTTTTATCCATCGCTTTCCCCACCGACTACCCTTTCAAGCCTCCCAAGGTCAACTTCACTACCCGTATCTACCACCCAAATATCAACGCCAACGGCAGTATCTGCTTGGATATCTTGAGAGACCAATGGTCGCCAGCTCTGACTATCTCTAAGGGTGTGTGCTTTCTTTGTTACTGTACCTTTGCAAACTACCCGCGTGACTGGAGTTCACATTTTCACATGGGCCCTCGTGCCAAGAATATAAATTTTAACTTTTTTACTAATTGTTTACTTCCAGTTCTGCTTTCCATCTGTTCAATGCTTACAGATCCGAACCCCGACGATCCCCTCGTCCCCGAGATTGCACACGTCTACAAGACCGATCGTGCCAGGTATGAGGCTACGGCCAGAGAGTGGACCAGGAAGTATGCCATTTAGTGATGGGTGTGGTATGGATTGTGGCGGACTCGGTGGGCGGGCATTCTTTAGTCTGTTTTTTTTTTCCATTAGGGATGGTGCAAATTAAACAACTTTTTCTGATCCTCGGTGGTGGAGCTCCATGTTTAACGGATGATAGGTGAGCTCAAACATTGCGATTTGTAACGAAACAAACTTTGGCTAGTATGAAACTTGTGGTGTTTTATGGGGGATTAGTGATTCTGTAGCTGGCGTGTAGCCAAATTTGCAAATAATGCGAGAAACTGTTTATTACATTCCCTTCGCATCACCATAGAGCTATGGATATTATTTTGCTTGATTCCCCTACGATCAACAAGTCTCTAGGGGAGAAAATTCCGCATCTCGTATGATACAAATCGGTCCCTCCCTTTCTGACTGCGCCATCCCAAATCACAGTGATAGCTAAAACTCGAGTAGAAGCAACCTGACCTTCTCGAATCGCTTTGCCACATATCCCGCATGAAGCTATGGGCGCCTCTGTCCTGAAGCGCTGCACCATATGATAAGGTGCTTGTGCTGTAATTCGTAACCGTAACAGCGCACGGATAGCTAACTTACTTGGCTAGTTTGTAATTTACCACTGTACTCGAGTACGTTCGTGCCGAAGCCTATACTATCTCGACCACGCACAGCACTTTGAGTGTGTGATAAGTCTGATGACTTGTATTGCATGTACTCGGGATGAGGAAAAAGTATGGTATCCAGGCATCGCAAATGTATAGCAAAGGGTTTCTTTCTTTCTTTCTTTTTTCTTCGCAAAGAAAAAGGGAGGGGGATGGTACAAGTTGTAATGGCTCCCCTCAAAGTCAGGGTTTTTTCAACACCGCTGATTAGAGTACTGGTATTGTAGTCCACTCATATCATACCTGAGGTATAATAATGACTGTACAGCAAGATACTGCACTGTAGGGTATTCCCGATACCGTATCATAACTGGCAAAGAGGAGGAAAAGCGGTGCAGCCGGGTAATTTGAGGTTTTTTTTTTTTTTTCTTTCCTATGATAATTATAATGCTAGTAGTGCTCACTAGCCCGGCTATCATACTTGAGATCTCAAGGGAATCATACCGTTATCATAGTTGGAAGAAGAAAAAACAATCCGCTCTATTCGATCAATTTTGTATTATATTGTAGACCAATCTAACTGGTTCCGCGCCTGCAGCCTAATACCGCCCATCTCCAGGTAATATGGAGATCTTGCAGGAGGTTTTTCTTCGTACCGGTATCTTTCCCACGAAGCCAGAGGTATTTTGCTGACTGGTCTCTACTTCCTTTCCTCCTCCAACTTGCTCACACTATTCCGGGCGTGCCCCATCGTGACTGGCTGGCAGGCGGGATACTCGAGTATGATATCATAGAAAGAGTGAAGGTATTCTTGGGGAAGGACGTGTGAGGCTTGTTGTGTTGTGGTCGAATAAGCCATCTATTGCCATCAGGAAGTCAGGGAGTGAGTGATAAGTTATGATGATGTTTAGACTACGGGAGTAATGCTTTGGTTTTTTATCATTCTTCATTTACTCGCTTGGTCGCTTGTGAGACTAGGGTGTAGTATAGTGTAGCGAAGGTAGACAGTACCCAAGCAAAAAAAGTGAATGTAGAAATGGGGAGAATGGAAGGGGGTACGCAGAGATGAGACGAAAGTGAAATTGGGCACGGATTATTAGGGAGTTTTTTCTTTTTCGGTAGGATAAGTGGAATCAATGGGGGGACGCAAAAAAGAGTGAATCCAGAAAAAACCAACGTGCAACCGAACAGAACTACTGCAACAGGCATGAATTAGAGATGTAAAACTAGGGAAGCATAATATATAAAATGTCGGAATGGTCCCCTGACGAAGGCATGACACAAGAAATGGGCTACGAGAAATAAAGAGGGTAATCAAACAGATAGTTGCTCAAACAAGCCTGGACAAATTGTTCTAAAACACTTGACCGATACACACCGACACACACGCCTGCTTTGGAGGCATAGGATGGACAACAAGATCTTGAAGGTCAATGATGAAGACAATGTGGAAAGTCAGAGGTAGCAGAGAAAAACATAGTAAACCAAACCGAACTTAACCAAGCCGACTGACCCGACACGCCATTCAAACAGAAAACAGAACAGGGGGACTCTGGGACATAGGAATACGAAGAAAATGGGAGGGAAGGAAATAAAGGATTAGACGGAACTAGTATCAACGCCCTTTCCTTCCCTTTTTCTTTGGTTTAATTGTTTTTGCTTCAGCTTGCTGCTGCGCCCAGACCATCGTTGCCATCGTAAGTATGAACGGCTCGTAGTCGTGCCGGTTTCGCGCCAGCTCCAAAGCCTTTCTAGACTCTTCGTTGAAGAGGTTATCCTTTTCCATCTCAATTGCCTTTTGTTTCTGGATTAAGTCGGTGCGGAGCTCCACCAGTTGCTCCGTCATCATCCCATTGTGATGTCCAAAATCATCCGTATCAGAAGGCGGGAGGATTAAGAGGCCCGACAGTAGATCTTCTTTGCGCAAGGAAGAATGAGGATCTATTTCCTGTAGCTTGCGCTCGATGGCGCCTATCTCCCTCGCGTTGGCTTGGTGTTGTTTGTCTAGTTGGGGCGCCTTTGCAGGTTCAAGGGCGAATATACCGAAGTCAATGCTCAAATCTGAGCACCTAGCAGTCAATTCACGCATGCGACTGCCGACGCAGACGGCAAAGTTTTCATTATTACAATCTCCCACCTTGAAAGGCGTTTGTTTGAGGCCATCCAATTCCCACAGGCACCCTCCTACTTGAACGTATGCGATGTAGTGGTGAGGACCATCAATTTGATCGGTGTGGCCTCGCGCCACCTCTGCCTCCTCAGTTTTGTATTTCTTTCCCCCGTGATTTTCCTTGGACTTTAGTTCGGACTTTGGATCCGAGTCCCTAACTGCTTCCTCGTAGAGGATCAAATCTGCCTCCTCAATTTCATACCTGAAGCAAAATGAGTTGTGTGCATTCTTGATTGATTTAAATCCATCGACCGCCTGGCCTCTGTGAGGAGGCAGAAGTCCAAGGGTAAATTCGCGGAACCCCTCAAGTTGTGTGCCCAATGGTACGTTGTTGAGGTTCATCAAGATATTTAACAGTGCATAAGAGGCGCAGGCATTATCGGCAATCTATAAATTGGTTAAAAAGGTAAGGGCTAATAGGTAGAGGGGAGGGGTCGTACTTGATTACTATACCACATTCCATCGGGGAGGTCTTTTAGTTCCTCCCCCGCTTGGGTCTCGTAATGCTCATTATATGGCATGAGAAAAATAATACCATAACAAGATCTGATAATTTTGTTTGATTAGCAATAATACTCGCACAAATCGCATAGCATTCAATCAACTCACTTCACCTCTCGAAGATAATCCTCCTCCATAGAATAAAGTTCTCTCACGGCGACACTCTCGCAACCAACTTGGCGCATAATGTATTCGAAGATGGTCTGCAAAAGATACGGAGGTACATATTAGGACAGGTGCTACAAAATGCGATGACAAATGATAGAAGCTTACCGCATCGTTCAAAGTAGTGGCCCACCCTCCCCAGTTCTCCTTTTGCTCTACGATGCCCCTAATTTCAGGCGCAGCGCAAGGACTGATGTTTGATTTAACACGAGTGGACCCTCCAATGTTACTGGAGGAAGCCATATTTGTCGCCCTAACGTATTTCGAAATCACAATTGGTGTGTGGTGGAGGAACGTCGCGATGATGGTATTGAGGGTTGGTTGTGCGTAGTGGGTTGAGCGAGGGGATAGAGCTGAGTGGAGGGGTGAGGGGGGTGAGGGAATGGGTGTGCGTGGAGTGTGAGAGGTCAGAAGGTTATTGTGGAAATGAGCAGAGCTTGGAGCTAGGTCAGAATTGTCAGCGGTTTGCTCTTCTCAGTATACTCATATTACTCAGCACCCAGGATCAACTTATTGAAAGGTGTTAAATGGGAATAAACACAAGCGCAGTGGAAAACCAATGCAAACAACAGTGTCACATACGGTAGTCTAATTAATAACACCTCGACATAGTCTACCGGGGATTCCGGGCGAATAGGAAAGCATGAATCGTGTTAAAACAGGTTTAGCGTGTCTGAAGACAGGTTTAACTATCTTCAACTGCTTAAGGAAGGCAAAGAAAATCTTTATTGTGGTGTCTTCTGGGCATAGAGGTGCACAGCTGGTCAAGAGGAATCAACAAATGACGAGGAAAAGTTTGATTGTTGTATTGATTGGGGTTCCTGCTGGAGGACCGAGACTGGTCGATCTTCGGTGGAAGCGCCGCTGCCAGAATCTATGTAACTTATGGTTCCGGACAGTAAAAATCGACCTTTTGTGTATTGAGAATTGTTGGCTAATCCACAAGTTATCACTCACTTTTTTATTTCTCTTTCTTTTCTTGTTTATAAATTACCAATTCTTTAAAAATTACTAAAATTTTCTTTATTATGATATAATGAATAATATAAGGAAGATATACAAAATTCTAGATTTATTTAGCTTATAGATGAAATAAACCTTTCCACATAACTAGTACTTTGTGATATAAGTAGAAAGCTCTGTGTCTTTATATATATATAATCTCTTCTCTATTATAATGTATTTAATAGATTTTCTTGAAATAAAGATAGGAATATTTGGATAATATATGTGTTAGAACTATGTCTTTGGCTACAAATATCTTAATGGCCTCTCATACCATATCTGAAAATTGCCCTAAACCCTATATACTCATCAACAATCACTTATATGTGCATTTTAGCTCTATTTTTAAATGTGTATTGGACTCAGGACTAGGCAAAAAGTTACTAGTTTTAAAATGATTTACAAGGCTCAAATATTACTTGATTTCTTTATGGCACTGTAAATGTCTTTAGATTCACTAAATAAACAAATATACAACTTAAAAAATCATTATACAATAGTTGTGGTTGGTAATATAATTTTTCGTGAGGTGTCCATCTCGTAAAAAAAGAGGTTAATTTTTACCGTCCAGAGCCATACTTGTACGATGCATGATAAATACCGGTAGGAAGTTGCTGAAGTTGGTGAGAAACGCATTACAAAACTCGGGATAGGGTACTCGAGTAAAGGTAAACTACTGGTGTCATGCCCTGGTACTGTACTCGAGTATCATACTGTTCACGAGTACCCTGAGCGCTGTGCAATATGTATCATAGTGGTACTGGAGATACATGTACGGTACGGTACTGTACCGTACTCGTACACTCTTCTCCAGAAAGTTCTCACCACATCTAATGCATCGCAAAGTCTTGATAGTTTTCGACCAGGAGATTGCAAAAGCTACCATATTTGCTAGGAGAAAAATAATGAATATCCTCTGTGGAGTCTGTAGCTACTAAATTAAAAATATTTTCCGTGAAAAGAATCGTCCCTTGTCTTGCCATTTAGGGCCGGAGTTGTTGGGATACCTGAGGTGCTGCCAGTACTACGGTATCATAGAACTTTGCGGGTGCGATGTGGCTGGTACAAGCATGATAGCAAAACTTGAATAACTTGACTTACGCTTACACCCTGATTATGAAATCGCCATAATATCGTAGACTGTAATAGTGATATTATATATAGCGCTACGAGTATAGGGAAAGGTCTGGTGAGCATGGTTCATATGGTACTGTCCAAAGTTGTTTGTACCGGTAAAGGATTAGGGAATAAGACTTTGTTAGACGTTTTCCTATGGCGCAAGAGCAAAATGTTGCAAGTGGGGAAAGACAGCGGAAGGGGGAAAGGAAGGGAAATTCCCTAGCATGGGTACACAGAAAGGGTGCTTCACAAGTTGCGAAGTTCTGTCATCAATTTGTGACAAAAATTTGTGGAGGATCATACACCAAGACCAGTAACTTTTGAATTTATTCTAATATCATACCTGAAAAACACGACAGAGGTTTTGTGCTGGTAGAATGGGGAACCTTTTGAAACGGTTGACCACTATTTCGATGCTTTGTCAGTTCTGTGTAGGGAGACAAAGACCTTAGGATGTGGGGTTCAAGTCAATGATCCATACTGCTAGCTAATAATTGAGATCGACATAATTATGATAGGGGTGTGCTTTGATGCAGTCATGAGTTCTAGCCCGCGCGGCACGCACATGGAGGGCAACTAGTATAATGATATGATGATGTGCAGTGCCGGTACTCTAGTCCACTCGAGTACCAGTATGATACCTGTGCTCGCAGAAGTACAGTTCAAGCACTGTATGATAAGTTATAATGCTGAGCAGGACGCTCTGCAGGTTCTTGTTGTATCCTTGTGCTTAGTAACATGTGGCTGATAATAATTAAGAAAAAAAATGCAAGCCACCTTTGCGGCTCCTTGAATATAATATCACGTGTGAGCGTCATCTAAAGGAGGTTGCCCTACCGAATGGAACGCGTTGTCCTAACTTTTGTTTTCAAGAGGGCAGCCCCTGATCTAGGCCTCAGTGAGGGACCCCCGACAAAAACACCACCTCCGAAACACATCCTTTCACATCCTTTGCCTATTTTTCCTTATCCCTCGATGACCTGAGCCATCATCATGAGTGACGGAACTCCTAGGATACCTGCGGCCTTTCCAAGGTCTCCTGCAACTGGTCGAGCACGTCGAGTGCCTCATTCACCCTCACCTCCAGCTCGGGAATCTCCACCTCGTTCAGTGGGTGCGATTGTTTCTACTTCCATGACTTCAACTATCGCAACAGGTCCAAAGAACAACGCCCCGCCCAGCATGGTACAAACTAGAGACGTTGCTCTTCCACCGTTAATATCGCTCGATACACTAGATGCGCCGACACAACGTTTATACGCGGTTGGCTTCTTTGTCCTTCTGCAAGCGTGGAAGTTTTACGACATCGCGCGATTGTATACTACGGATGGGGACTCGATATCTGAGTTGTGGTTCTGCTCTAAATGGCTGGTTGTGGATGGCTGTTTCTTTTGGTTCCTACCATTACTTCGGATACCCTGGCTCACATTTACGCCGAATTTCACCCTGCGTACTATAGCTATTTTCTCGGTGGTGGACATCTTTTTGAGTCTGAAATATGAGATCCCTCTTACAGCGATTATTGGAGGCCTTTGGAAGTGTGAGTGAGCCCTTGCTTGTGGTGGCTAGTGCGCCAATAGCTAATTCCGTTGGGTTAAGTTATTTATGATCGGGAGGTTTCCATTTCTGAGAAAAGTGTCAAGTGGTACGATATCGTAAATAACAACTCCCACATCCAGGGAAAGTATACGGTTCATATTTTACCTGAAGGGTGCGTTCCTTTCGATCTGATTGTTGCTTCCGAGCTTACTCTTACAGTGCCGTCAAACTGAATCCGAATGCAAACTGTTTCTGCTTGGGGGAGGGTGTCTCTGCAATCAATCTCCCTATTCGCATCAATGGGACGAATCCCATTCACATACAGCTTGCCAGAATTGATTTTGAGACGGGGGGCGCGGATGTGATCGATATTAGTGCCAAAGAGATTAAAAAGATGCTTAAACGGGCTGAGAAAGGCGAGGATCCAAAGTTACAGGTTCTCTCGTATTCAGTCAAACAGCCTGGCCTTTATCGTCTCACCAAAGTCACAGATGTGACAGAATTGGACGTCCGCATTTATCGATCTGAGGCTCTTGTCGTATCTTGTCCGAAGGCAGCACTCAAAGTTTCCCCTACGTACAAAAGGAATAAGTGCAAGGGGGATATGTCGGATCTTGCACTGCAAGTAGAGGGCCTTGCGCCTCTTCAAATTACATATAGCCGTGAGATGAAAGGGAAGCCTACTGTGTTTACAGTCCAAAGTATTCATCCCGAAAACTTCGAATCGCCTCTGCTTGCTGGATTCAGCAGCGATGGGACATTGGCAGAGCAAGGCGATGCTGCCCTGTCCTGGGCGCAACGTCAGAATATTCCTGTACCTCTTAACGAATCACTTGGTTCCTCTGGCGACTGGGTTTATTCAGTGGATAAGGTTTCTGATGCCTGTGGCAATGCTGTCGATTACAATGCTGCTTATGAGGATGGTGATTATGTCGTTCCTAAGAGAGGGAGCCTTTCGCAAAACCTCAAAGTTCATGATAGGCCGCTTGCTCGCTTTCTTGGCTGTGATCCTCAGCATCCGATGGATCTGCCGAAGGGAGCCACGGGGGTTCTTCCCATACAGCTCTTGTCTGGTCAAGATGATGCGCCATACGAGGTTGAGCTTACTTTCACGCCGTACGAAAAGCTTGGGTTGGCCTCTGAGCACGCTTTGGGTGCGGCGGCGGGGGTACATAAACTCAAGACTCTTAGCCATGTTGTCTCCATCAAGGAACCCGGTCTTTATAGTGTGAAGGCGATTTCTAGTGACTTTTGTTCCGGCGATGTGATGGAGCCAGCTTCATGTCTTGTCATTACTCCTCCTGAACCAAGCATGGCTATGAGATCCGACGAGATCCTCGATAAATGCACCGGATCATCGATTGGTCTTACGATCGATCTTACACTTGTTGGAGCTCCGCCCTTCGAACTTTCCTACCGCCTGATAAAAGACAATGGGAACCCGGCAGTCAAGACTTTGACGATTGAACGCACCAGACATCAAGTGCAATTCACCCCTGCGGATGCTGGTCACTACGCATATGAGTTTTTCAGTCTACGGGACAAAAATTACGCTAATGTCAAGATTGATCCAAAAACCAATTATGTGGAGCAAACTGTCAAACCTATGGCTGGGGCAACCTTTGTCGATCCTTCTCCTAGAAAGAAGGTCTGTATTGATCAGCCTGTCGAATTTGACGTCAAGATGCAGGGGATGCCTCCATTAACATTGAACTACGAACTCATTCATAACGGCAAAAGAACCAAGATGACGGAACCTAACATCACGACCGGTATCCATACAATCAGGACCCCACCATTGGCAAACGGTGGGGAATATGCGCTGGCTCTAACCACGGTTGAGGATGAGAGCGGTTGCCAGATTTTTGTTGGGTCCGAGGCCAAGATCGATGTCAGATGGCAAAGGCCAAAGGCACAATTTTCCTCGATTGAAGGTAAAATGTCCGTAAGGGCTCTAGAAAGGAAGACTGTAGACATTCCATTACGCTTAACTGGCGAAAGTGTGAGAACTCCCTTTGTCTTTCATCTTTTGGCAGGTGGTTTTGCTAATCTTGCTTTCTAGCCTTGGGATGTATCCATTCGGAACCTAGACAGTAATGAGCCTGCCAAACAGCTCAAATTCGCTGGTTCCAACGCCTACCTGACCGTCAGGGATCCGGGTCGGTACAAACTTGAGAGCGTACATGACAATGGGTGCCCTGGAACAATAACCGAATCAGACAGCACGTTTCTGATCACCTGGATAGCAAGGCCGATGTTGAAGTTAGCAGAATCTTCGTCCACAACCAAGGGTGATGTGTTCACTAGAAAAGATGTTTGCGAAGGAGATGAAGATGCTATCGAGCTTGCCTTCGTTGGGAGCCCACCCTTCACAATCGACTATGAGCGGACATTCAGGCCTGAGGGCTATGATTCTAGAAGAGCGCTTGACCCAATTCCCCAAAAACTTACTGCTGGCCTCGGTGTTGCTACTGTGCGCCTAGAGACATCCCAGGCGGGTGTCAACCGGTATAAGTTTTCTCGGATTGCAGATAGTCTTTACGATAGCCCACGGGAAAGCCTTGTCCAGAATCCAATTATCCTTGAGCAGACTATCCACTCGAGGCCGTCCACGAGTTTCGCAAATCCCAGCAAAGTCTATAAGTATTGTCTGGATGCGGGCGCGGGAGATGATATAATTCCCATCCAGCTTCATGGGAAAGCGCCGTTCTCATTGACCATCAATATTAAACACTTCAATACCGGCAAGAGCGATGTCATCAATATCCCGCACATTGATTCCAATATCTTTAACTTTAGAATCCCAAGCCATGCTTTAACACTCGGAAGCCATGCAGTTAGTGTCCTCAAAGTGAAGGATTCTCGTGGATGTGTACGAAAGACTATGGAGGGTCCCCATGTTATGGTGGCTGTTGCTGATATGCCAACTATCTCACCTTCCAGCCAACAAACGAATTACTGCGTCGGAGATCGTATATCTTTTACACTTTCGGGGGTCCCGCCTTTTGCTGTTGAGTACGAATGGAACGGTGTTTTGATGAAGGCACACAATCAGCCTTCCGAATTTGCCCGTGTAGCGGAGAAGCCTGGTAATTTCACGATTACGGGACTTCAGGATTCTGCGAGTGATTGCAAGGTGAATGTTGGGCTCACTCAGATTGTCCGTGAGGTCCCTTCTGTTCGAATTAGCGACGGTTATACAGTGGTCAGGGGTATTCCCGAGGGTATTTGGCTCCCCTCTCAAACTTTTAGGCAACCATTCTAACGAGTGATAATAGGTGACCAAGCTGAGATTCACTTCGACTTTTATGGCACCCCACCATTTACATTCACGTGAGTATTTAACTATACCATCATCTCTTAAATCTAAGATTATATATCTAATATCTCTACTTCGCAGATATACTCGTAGTGAGATTGCCAAGAAGGGCTCGAAGCCCAGAATCCTTGAAATGCATTCACAAACTACAGACGGCTATAAATACAGTATGTTTGCATCCCAGGAAGGCACCTACGAAGTTGTGTCCATTGAGGACAGTTACTGCTCCTACGCTGCGGGCAAGGCGAACTCGGGACGGAAAAGGTAGTGCGGGAGGTGTGGGGTGTTATAGGTGTTGTTAATTAATAGTGGCTGGGTGGGCCAAAGGTCGGTTATCGATCAGCCCAAAAAATTGTACCAATATGAGGAGGAAAGGCGTAAGTAGTAGCGTTTGACGATTGATGATTGCTGTTCCTGTGTATACTTGTTTTCTTTTTTTCTCTTTTTTTTTTTTTTTCTCTTTTATATTTTTTCTCTTTGGGTTTGACGGCAAAATATCAAGGGGGAAGCAGTTTCAAACTAGAATATCGTTCCAGTAGCGGCACTGCTTGTAGGGTCCATAAGTTATACTTACATAGAGAAAACAAGGTTACTGTATCTTAGCTAGGAGCGTTGGGGCCGTGGATTTATATTGCCACCCAGAGCCCACAAAGGTGTGCCTAGGATGGTTATTTCATCCCCCGCTTCGGCGCTAAGGGTTAGGGACAGAGGCCTGATAAATATGGGAGCCGCTTTCTGCTGATTCGCTGGGACTCTTCCGCTGTTGTCGAATCTTCCCTGGCTGCCCTGTACTCGAGTACCGTACTCGAAACTCTCGCCGCACCGTCCATCCGTCGCATTTTTCTGCCCTAGCCACCTTACCGCACCATATCACTTCTCATCCTCGACTTCCACCTCCCTCCATCACCACTGCCATTAACACCAACACCAACTCAACCATAAATTCTACCACAACCAAACACTCTCACCACTAGCTACCACCACTGCTACCACCACCACCCCACCACCACCGTTACGCCAAGTGTTCATCACAATTCTTAGGGGCCTTGGTCTCTTCCTTTTCGATCGTGTCCGCTCTATTCTCCCCTTCCCCTCCCTATTTTCTACTTCCACTTCTAAAAAACATTCCCTCTCTTCTTTCCTTTGCATTCCCTGTCCTCATCCTCGCTGGTGCAACCTCTTCTGAAAACACCAATAACCGCCCCTTGGTTTGCTTCAACCTCGTCTCTAATCTACGCTGCTACATTACCTCGCCAACCGACCAACCTTGTTTCACTTGGTGAACTCACTCGCCATCTTGAGAACCCGCGACACCACCGCATTTTTTAGCAACCAATAAGTCAAACATCACCATACTTTAATAGGTGTCCACACAGTGTTGTAATCTGCTCATCACTTCTGGACTCTCATCCTAGTACTCTTTACATCTTTTTTGACATACGATTTCACAAATGGCGACTGCTCTCGCCGACCAGCTTGAGGCGACATCGTTAGGGTAAGTGATACCGTAAATCCTTTTGTCCCCTCCCTTGAGGCGGTGATAATCGCTAACTATTGTTATATAGGGGAGGCCAAGATCCAAACTGGAGTTCCAAATTGAAGGCGCCAAAGAAAGATCTTAGGCCGCAAACCGAGGTGTGTTTGACCTTCCTCAATTGGCTACATGCTGGTTGCTCTATACCAGCTTGGGTTAACTTTCTGCTAGGATGTCACTGCTACTAAAGGCCTCGATTTCGAAGATCTATACATCAAGCGGGAGTTACTAATGGGTATTTTTGAAGCTGGTTTTGAAAAGCCTTCTCCTATACAGGAGGAAACTATACCTGTAGCTCTTACCGGTCGCGATATGCTTGCTCGGGCAAAGAATGGGACCGGAAAAACGGCAGCTTTTGTTATCCCAGCTCTAGAGAGAGTAAATCCGAAGAGTACAAAAACTCAGGCCTTGATTCTCGTACCTACTCGAGAACTTGCTCTGCAAACTTCGCAAGTTTGCAAAAGTCTTGGAAAACATCTAGGCATCAATGTTATGGTTACCACTGGTGGGACAGGATTGAAGGATGATATCATTCGGCTCAACGAACCTGTTCACATCTTAGTTGGAACTCCTGGTAGAATCCTGGATCTCGCTGGAAAAACTGTTGCCGATTTTAGCGAATGTCCAACGTTTATTATGGACGAGGCGGATAAGCTACTCAGCCCTGAGTTTACACCGATTATCGAGCAGCTCCTCGCATATTTTCCCATTGACCGTCAGATAATGCTTTTTAGTGCGACATTCCCCCTTGTCGTAAAGAGCTTTATGGTAAGATATCCCGGTTCCCCACACTTTGGCGGTTTGTTTGACGAATGACTCGTCTAGGATAAACACCTTAACAAACCGTATGAAATAAATCTAATGGACGAGCTCACACTCAGAGGTGTTACACAATATTATGCGTTCGTGGAGGAGAAGCAGAAAGTTCATTGTCTTAACACTCTATTTTCTAAGGTACTCTCCAATGGCCTATTATGGTTTTGTTTATAGAAGCTGACATTTATTTCTCAAAGCTTCAAATCAACCAATCCATCATCTTCTGTAACTCGACTAATCGTGTTGAACTGCTGGCCAAGAAAATCACAGAACTTGGCTACTCCTGCTTTTACTCGCATGCAAAAATGCTCCAAAACCACCGTAATCGTGTTTTCCACGATTTTAGGGGTGGCGTTTGCCGTAACCTGGTGTGCTCAGATCTGCTCACTCGCGGTATCGATATCCAGGCTGTAAATGTCGTTATCAATTTTGATTTCCCCAAAAATGCGGAGACATACCTCCATCGTATTGGTCGCTCAGGCAGGTTTGGTCATCTTGGTCTTGCGATTAATCTCATCAATTGGGATGACAGGTAGGAGATCGACTTGTCCTTCTCTGGTGGTGCGGTTGCTAATATTGCGAAGGTTTAATCTTTATAAGATCGAACAGGAGCTCGGGACGGAAATTTTTCCAATACCTCCTGTGATTGATAAAAAGCTCTACGTCTATGACTCTCCTGAGAGCATTCCTCGACCACCCCCTACGCCGCAACAACCTCGCCAGGAAACGCGTGAGCACAACCAACGGCAGAACACTCAACATCAGAACCAAAATTCTCAACAACGGAGTTAGAGGCCTGAAATGTTTTGACATCCAGA